AAATTTCTGAAGAAGCACCTTGATGAGAAGACTGGATGTGAGATGCTCTCAGTTGCGATAACGAGGACGACTGTACCGAAGGGACATGAGAACGCTTCGAGGGATGGACTGCTTGCTGAGAAATGTCTTGCTGAGATAAATGACATTTATAAGCTGGTGTCAATGGCGGAGGATCGAGCTGATAATAAGCATGATATCGATGCTGAGGAGGAGAGGGTGATGGGGAGGAAGAGTAGGCATAGACATAATGCACTCTTTTGGACCTTACATAGTCGCCGGTATCATAGTAAGGATCGAGGTTGAGGTCATCCCCATGGTATTGACGTCAATCAATCCTTCAATCGACTTCTACATACAAAGGCTCCTCATAATCCAAGAACGCCCAACATCAAGATGGACAAGGAAGAACTATAACCTCCTGATGCTGAGGATACTGTCGGGCTAGAGAGATGTGCTGACGTTTAGCCAGCTATTTACATGGAGGAGACTGCTGTGGTGACACCTCCGAGTTCGATAGCTGAATTACTGTTGCCTGCCCAATTGATATAGGCTGGAATGGGCCGAGGCCAGGCTGGAGATCACATCAGCCTCAGAATGGCCATGAGTGGGAGATAGGCTCGGTATCAATACCGAAGCCTGTGCCTGTGGTGGAGGTACGGACTCTGCCACTTCAGAAAGAGAGTCTGGGTCTAGTAACTCTCTGGACGATTCCTCTAGTATTGGTGACGGAAGAGAAACTCGAACTGGAGGGAGCTCTCAAGAATGAGTAAATTTAGCAGATTGTTTAGGCTTTTTCTACTTAACCACCTCTTTCTTTTTCTTAGGATCCTTTACCAATAGCAATTTAGATATTGAGCACGACATCGATGCCAAAGACTTATTCGGCTTAGGTGCTTTCGAAGAAGCCCACAGAGAAGGAATGGCAGGAGCCAATGAAGCAGCAGGCTCGGAACGAGGAGTAGGAGGAGCAGGGGTCAAGTAGGCTCCTGGGCTCAAGGGTGTTAAAGACTTCTCCCACAGGTATAAACGAAGCTGCTATAAGCAGAGCTTAAGGGCAGGCTTGGTCACTTCTTGCACTCTCCGACAGGAGTGGGACTGGTGCCTCTCCCCTAAACAAAATGAGCAGTGGTCTTGGCTGTCCGTGACGGGGATCTTATTAGCACACAACGTACAGCATTTAAAGGGACCTGATGAGGCCATAACATTTGCCAGGAACAGAAGAAGAGAGGGGGGGAGGGAAAAAAGAGAAGAAATCACAGGAAAATGTCAGCGATTGCCAGTCCAAGTCAAAAGCTGAAACAGATTAGAAGCCGAAAGTCACGATAAAATCCATAAACCAAAATAGAAACAGCAATCACTCCAAAGGTCAGTAATCCAGAAATCACAAAAAGGTAGTCAATCCAAATCTAACAATCGTAATCGTAAACAAAGCCAGTCCAAAGTCAAAGTAATCTAGAAACACAAACAGTAGTCAGGAAGCCAGACCAGAATAAAAAAAAACACCTGTGAAATAAGTAACAATTCAAAACAGCTCTAGACATCGCGAAAGAGTCCAATTTCAGCACCGGCAAGAAGGAACTGAGGCAGAGCATGCGCACCACAGGGAAACGTCCTACTAATCACATGTTTTTAAGCTCTAGAAGATTCTGAGGGGTCCTGCGCAGGCACAGTTTAACCCATTTGTGTGCATTCATGGAGGCCACAAAGAAGAACTAGATACTGACTAAAATCCTGATGCTCAAACATAAATCACACTAGAGTAGGTCCATTAAATTAGTAGGGATGTGGTGAGTCAACTCCTCTGTAAATTCCATTGATTCAAATGGGCCTGCTCTCATTGTGACTGATTTTAACATAGAAAATCACAACTAGACCAGACTTATTTGAATCAACTGAAGGTATGGAGGAACTGATTCACCAAATCCCCTGTGATTCAGTGGGTTTACTCTAGTATGGCTTACCACACTAAGCAACAGGATTTCAGCCACTGGAAAACATGCTCCAAAGTTAATTTATGAAAGTTCATTTAATCCAGAAACTGTTTTTATAAACATGTAAAACCACAGGTGAGGTGGGTTTTTTTAGATATTTGCTGCTTTTTTCAGCTCAGCTCACTATAGACAGTCTAAACAACAAACAACAAGCCGTTAAACTAATTTGGGCATCTATTTACCTTGGCACCCAGGACAACTGCCCAGATTACCCATCTTGAAGGACAACACTGGCTGAGAATATGCTTACTACTTCTTCTAACAAAAGATGAAAAAGCAGGCCCTGTGTAAACCCTGTTCTGAGGGAATATTTTAAAGGAAATGGAATAAACGAAGTCTTTCCCCCAAGACGATGTCAAATAATGTCACCATCTAAGAGCCTGTTCTATAGCATACTTGACATGTACAATTCAGCCCTGCCTATAATAGGCTTGTTTCATTGAACAACATTACTGAAAAACAGTGTATTGAGCATTGTGACTAGAATATGTGTTTGTGTCTCTTTCTTTAAAATAAAGTTTCTTGCCACTGAAATAGGCAAAAGATGAAGGAAGAAAAGATGAAACATGGGAACAAAGAGAAATTGATGTTCTCTCTCTGAGGGAGAATTTAGTGGCCCCCTCTCCTCCTGCCAAAAAAGCACATTTCCCACTTTGTACTTTGAATGCTAAATGACCTCTATGACTCCGTTGCTTTTTTTCTTTTGACATACCCCTAGTGTTAAGAGACGTTCCTCTTATTTGAGAAGATTTTATCTACACACACTCGTTTTGAACTATCCTCCACTCACAACTTCAGATGCCAGATACCAGTCCCTGTACAACAAATGCCTTGTGCTCCAGTTAAGTTCTTTAAGTTTGCTTACCATTTGCACTAAAAGACACTTTGTAATTTTATGAGAATTTAAAGTTATAATGAAAAGACATAATTTGCATGGATGTTAAAGATAGCTTTCATAACTTAAAAGCTGTTACCTTCAACTGATAAGACAAAAAGCCATATATAAATGTAACAAGTACTACAAAATAATAAATATTTAATAAATTTATATTTTTGTTTTGAATATGAATTAATTGGATGGTTCACCTTAAAAACTGTTTATTTTACAGCCTCATATAATCAACTCCAAGCATACCTGAATGAAAAACCTGGCTCCACGTCAATATGGCTGGTTACTGGACAGCAGTCATTTTGGTTGTTGACTATGATTTTTCATGAGATAGAGTACAGAGCCGTACAAAAAGTGTGTGAACCTGTTGATTCTCTTGGAAAGGACTGTCTGAAGATATTTTACTGACATAGGGCCCCTCCAGCAGTAATTTCACAAGACAAGAAATCCCACAAGCACTGTTTGCATACATGGCAGCAACAGTAGCAAACTAAAGACTGTATTTTTCCATGTATAAGATAATACTTTTGTCTAGATTCTTTAGACTAAAAATTGAGGACTGTCTTATACATGGAAGTAAGCTGAGGAGAGAACAAAAACAAGTGGAGGGGAAAGCAGGGATCAAAGTGATCCTGCAGGGCTTTGATCCCTGCTTTCCTCTCCACTTGCTAAGCCCCACTTAGATTTCTTAATTTGGGGTTAGAAAGGTGGGGGTGTCTTAAACATGGGGGTGTTTTTCTTTAGACTAAAAATTGAGGGCTGTCTTATACATGGAAGTAAGCTGAGGAGAGAACAAAAACAAGTGGAGGGGAAAGCAGGGATCAAAGTGATCCTGCAGGGCTTTGATCCCTGCTTTCCTCTCCACTTGCTAAGCCCCACTTAGATTTCTTAATTTGGGGTTAGAAAGGTGGGGGTGTCTTAAACATGGGGGTGTTTTATACACGGAAAAATACGGTAATTTACATTTGCTGCTTTTACATGATAACCTGAACATTCTCCTTGAAATGGCCTTCTTTCTCTACCTAATGGTAGGTTTGGAACTACTCTTGAATCTCTCTGCAGATTTTGCTGTCATCAATAAAGATAAACTTTAGTGTCACAAGATGTAGTGAATGGTCCTAATTTGTATGGTTTTAAAAGGGATTAGATAAATTCATGGTGGTTAAGGCCATTACTGGCTATTGGTGAGGCTGGCTATACATTATCTTCCATATCAGAGGTGTTATGCTTCTGTGTATCAGTTACTGGGGCACATGAAACAAGAGAGCAGTTCCACTCATCCTTCTGGCTGGTTTCCCATAAGCAACTGTTTTGAACAACAAGTTAAACTAGAGGGGGATGTTGGTCTTCCCATGTTCTTCATATTCTAGACTATCTGCATGAATTTAGTATACATTTTTCTAAAAAGTAGTTCGGGTCCCATTTCATTTCACTTGGGAACTTTCAGATATTGAGCAGAATCTCCATGTGGTGGGTGACCTCTCTGTGACAAATATAGAACACGATAGTTGATCACATAGGTCTCCCTCTTCAGACTGAATGGTTTCAAGCTAGCAACAGTGACTATTAAGCAGGCAGGCAAAAAACAGAGATGGAAAAAAAGTCCTTTTTTGTTTGTTTATTTTTTGTTTGGTGACAGGTCTCAATCCCTCTGTTGGCTATGATCTTCTGGGGCCTGCACTTCACAAAGCGGAGCTTTTCCCATTAAGAAGGGGAGGGGGAACCCTCATGTTATCAACCCTGTACAATTTAACACCACCACCATGAAAATATCCCTGCTTCCTCTGCCTTAGTAAAAGAAAATTATTAAAATAGAAGCAATGAGTATCTATGGACTGTAGATCTGTCCCACAAGAATTTCAAGAGGTTTGTGATGGCTTGTTGTTATTTTCCATTTGATAAAGGAAGGCTGGATAGGGCAAATTCTAACTCACTTCTATCATTTTACTATGAATTACTATATAACTTCAAAGGAGGTGTGCCTATTTTAGCTCAGCTTTAAGTATTGTATCTGCAGAAAAACTGCCTATAGGTCTCAAGGTATGTCTTGTCAGAAACAAGTATTGTATTAAATTTATCACTAACTTTACAACTGACTCTTATAAAGTGATTAATCATACCTGGGAAAAATCCATCAGTTCTTACACCATGGACATACCACTCTGTAGTGTTCTCCTCCTCCATTTACCCCCATTTTGACTTATATTTTCAGCTCCCACACACTTTCCTTCTGTTTTCCTTCTGTGTTAAGAAAAGATAACCAACCTCCCTGAAGAGGGGTGCAATTATGGTGTCACTTGTGAATCATCAGAAAACCATAGCAACTGTGAGATTTACTGTATATGACATCCTTGATCACCCCTCTGGTTTTGTTTTTATAATTTTTTATATTTTTTATTATTAGATAAACTACAACATAAACATAAAATACTGTAAACCAAAGCACAAATCAGCTGTATTCCCACCACCCTAATAGATTAATAGGTATTGATTAATAGATATTGTAATGAAGGGAAGAAAGCCAGAATATTAATGTATTTTAATGACTTATACTTGATAAATAAACACTTCATTCATATATATATATATTATGTTTTTTAATTATACCAAATAGATATCAGCAACAAAAAAGGAGGTATAGGCATACCAAATATAAAAAATTATTTAATGGCTAATCAGATGAGGTTTATTGTGGAAGTTATATATATATATAAAACTCAGAAAGGTTAATTGGGTAGAAAATGGAATCATCAGAACTACAGATTGATATTGAAAAATATCTATTTGGTATAATTAAAAAACATAAAATAAGTCAAATTAATAACCCCTTTTAAAAAACCTATGTTAAATGTGTGGTACAAGTATAAAAAAGAATCTATGTCCATTGGTCACCCCTTTGAATATTCCCCTTTTCCCAACTCTGCTTTAGAAATGAAGGCTAGTATGCATGTTAATTAGCTGATGACTGGTAAGTGTTAACCTGTATGTCTGAATCAACAAACATCGTCCAAGCTCTTTTAAGGACAGAAGCTTTGGAGGTCATTACTTCACATGGTCAACAAAAGTAAGAAGCAACTTAATGACACATAATAACATTCATATGGATTACATAAAAACCATTTGAAAAATGTGCGCGCGCGCACACACACACACACACACAGAGTATAGGAAGGCCAGCATCTTTGAACATTCGTGGCACATTCAGATCATTTGAAAATATATCTTTGAAACCCAGCTTTTAGTTTTTCAGTTTTAAAATTCAGAATAATCTACATGCCCTCAGGTAGGTATTTCAAAGACGGAAACTTGAATATATCTCTTCAGTGCTTGAAATGGAAATGTATTTGCTGTCCTTTTAAATATGGAAAAGTCAATTATATTCCTTCTGCTGCTGTGTATCTGACAGTAAGATTTTCCTTGTTCTCCTTGGAAGGGAGCCTACAAAAATGTTGCCATCATTAATCCACATTTAATGAAGCAGCATGATGGTTATATAACCAATGCTAGTTTCATAAAGATTCCCACTTAGAAGCTCATGAAACTTTATGATCATGTTCTGCTCCATGCCAAATCTAAACAGATACTTTCACTGGCAAATGATAACCATGGCAAGCCATCAGAAGCTACTATTTCTGTCTCTGCTGGAACAGTAGCTAGAAATACAATGTGAGAATTTAGTCTTTGCAGGCTCCCCTTGTTAAAAGCTTCAGTCACATCAAGGCATCATTCTTGCTAGAGTGAAGGCACAATTTTACTTTCTGCATCACAAAGTAAAATGTGTTTGGACCAAAATTGATCTCAGGAAGCAAGCAATTACAGCAACTATGGGTGCTATTAGATTGGCTCTTTTGGCATCCAAATAGCATATCAAAGCAAGATACTTTATTTGGTCTGGCTCCTTCCAGTTGGAATTTGATATTGTGAAGTGGCTTAATAAGTGACACACTTCAGGATATCAGCAAATGGAACATAGAGGAAGTGGGGGGAAAAACAGAAGGTGAATTCACCTGCAGGCAGTTTCTTGGCTGGCCCATCAAACAAGACAAAGAATTTTTTTTAGAAACTTTAATATCTGATACAGTGCATCAGCTACTGTAGTCTAAAATGTTTTCACTTTTTCTGCCCCTCTGCTGAGGAGCAGATTTGCCAATATCCTGAAGTGGCTTGCTTTATTAAGCCATTTCACAATATTGGAATTTCCAACTGGAAGGAGTTTTGACAACAGGAAGACTTTGCTTTGTTCTATTTGCAGCAATCATATGCACTTGAAACAGACCAAACCCGAGTGATCCTACTCACACCAAAAAAGTAAAAGCCCTGTTTGGTTTCTTCAATGCAGAGTTCCGAACATTCCTCTTTACATTGCAACGCATACATTATATTGCTCCTGTTTGTTTTGGTGTCCAGTCTTTTAAGTGGACGAGTCTCTGCCTTAGTATGTTTGTGCGGTTGACGTGCATGGCTATGTGGTACACAGGCCTTCACAGACCACATAAATGCAGTGGACCCAAATATTAAGTTCACCAGGGAAGACACCAAAGACAATGGGCTGGCTTTCCTGGACTGTGCAGTCATCACAGGATCCAACGGCAGTTTAGGAATAGAAATCTACAGAAAACCTACTCACACTGATCAATACCTGCAATTTGACTCTCATCACCCGTTGCAACTAGGGGCCATCAGGATGCTAAACCACAGAGCAAGAAACATCCTCACTTCCACAGAAGCCAAGAAGAAGGACGATGGACATCTGGTCCAGCCCTGCTCTAGTCTCATCCTTTTTCTTTGCCTTCCTCTTTGATCAAGGTCTGTGCATTATTGTTGACGGGAGCCATTTCAGACAGGCACCTTCACTTGCTCCAGTGATTCCTAAGAAATAAATATACATGTGTGAACTCAACCTAAATGTGATAGAATTGGACCAAACTGTGAACAGGTGTCCCCATGCAAAACAGCCTTCGCATTGGTACAAGCAAAAAACAAATGCTCCTTTTTGCTTGGCTACACTAGAAGTGCCGTATAAACGAGCAAAGTTAATTACATGTAACACGGATTTCCTGCCTTACACAAACGTAGTAAGCTTCATATTTGCAGGGCCAACTAACCCTATTAAGATAATGGAATCTAAGCTAATGCTTTGAATGAGAAAATGGATCAGCCTGTGGAGGAACATGAGATGTTGTCTTTGAGAAAATGTAATTATACTTTAGTTGTAGCTCAACAGTCTTTTGCTTCTTTATGGCTATAAAGTGTCTTATTACAGCTTTCCTTTAAATTAAAAGGTGGCCAAAACAGGTGCAACCCCCGACATAATTTTTTTTTTCATATTCTGTACTCACCTACAATTTTGTTTATCCAAAGAAATATCAGTCACGCCCATATGAGCCTCCAAGGCAACTGGACATTGAGAGAAATTTCCTGCCTTGCAGCATATGTTTTAGGTACCAGGGTTTCTTCCCCACAAACCAGTATGACTAGAAAGCCAGTTCCAGTTCGAACAAAAGGTATAAGAAAGGCTAAGAGAGGAGAAATCTGCCCCAAATAGCCAGCCATGCCCTCAGAGGCCTCTAGTTATGCAACTAGTCATTTGAAGGCACATGGGGGGGCACAAAGAGGAGGTGATGGCAGTGTCATGGATGTAGCTCTGTTGGTTCCCGGTGAAGGTGGCAGTCTGTTGCCCACTGGAAAATACTCAACCCTGCTCTAAAGGTGGAGAGTGGCAAAACTCATTGGCAGAGCACCATCCACCACACACTGTCTCCCCGTTCAGTCCACAGTGTCTCCATTTAGAAGGGTTGAAGGTAGGAGAACTGTAGGGGAGATATTAGCCACAATGTACACCATAACCAGAGTTGAGGATAATTTCGCAAATGTGGCATAGCATTAAATCTGGTAATCATGAACCATTGTTAGCACTGATACCAACATAACACATGCTTAACACTGAAGAGAAGCAAGAGGGGAATTTGTACCCAAACAAGGGAGAAGGAGCAGGAAATATGTGGTCCATTTCCTGCTTTCAACTCTCTGTCAAACAGAGCTTAGAAGGTTACTTTTAAAAGTAATTAGTTACATAACCTGCTAAAAAGCCCCCAAGGTGATTTCTTACCACTGATGTAACAAGGATGAATACTGTATGTAGTTTGTTCCATGAGCCATTGTATTGCTCATCACTTTACTCATTATAGTACTTGGGATTGAAAAAGGGAACACATAACACTTGAGAAAAAATCAGGCTCAAAATGCCTTTAGGAAAGTGCTGCTCGTTATACCAAAGAAGGAATATTCCTGCTTGTGCTAGTTTTGAAATTTCACGTTGTTATTTCCGTATGGAAAACAACAACTCCAGCAGGAAACCAGTTAACTTGATAGAGTAACTACATTGCATGTAATATGTTACATACCTCCAAGCTAGATCTGCCCTTAGCCATGAGATCAACTTTTACATCTGATCCAGGCTTTTCCGACTACAGTTCAAAAAACTGCAGCAATATTATTTACAATTTAAAGGGATTCTATATAGTGAGTGCCTCAGGAGAACTTGCACAGGTAGTAATGAATGCAAGTGAACTATGGAAATAAAGAAAGCTTTCACAGTGGGGTTAATTTGCACATAGCAGTCAGTTCCTCAAGTCTCACTCCTTGGCAAGCCATGATTCATTCTAGCAATTCTTTCAACACTACTGAAAACTCTTAGGAATTACACAAGTCTGAAGCCAGCTATAACCATTTTTTAATCAACCTGGCTTGGCAACAGACATCCATGCCTTCATTATATCACATCTTGTCTACAGCAAAATGCTCTGTGTGGGGCTACCCTTTAAAAGGTCTGAGATCTTCAGCTGCTGCAGTATATAGCAACTAAACTAATAATGAGTACACGATATAGCAATTGTATGGTGCCAGTAGTGAAAGACCTACATTAATTGCCAGTTGCTGACATGGCCAATTCAGAGATGTTAGCTTTAAACTTTAAAGCCCTATTTCTTTCTTCTGGGAACCAGCTATCTAAGCAACTGTCTGTCTCAGTATGAAACTTTCTGGATGTTGAGATTTATTTGTTTGTTTGTTTGTTTGTTTGTTTATTTATTTATTTATTTATTTATTTATTTATTTATTTATTTATTTATTTATTTATTTATTTATTTATTTATTTATTCCCCGCCTATCTGGGCCACCGGACCACTCTAGGCGGCTCTACAGGAGATCTACAGGAAAGGCCCTTTTTGAAATAGCCATACTTCCAGGGGCACACCTAATAAACAC